TCTTGCTTCCCATTTTGCAATGTTAGTTAGGGAGCCTGTTCAAGTATTAGAGAATCTTGCTTTTTGTATTGCTGCAGTCAGGTGACATCTCTAGCTAGAAATTGCTCATGATTACTATAGACAAGGTTAGCCTTTATCAACATATTTGATATTTATTTATGCCTATTTATTTAATTTATCTATTACGTATTGATAACTATAAATATTTATATATTTCTATAAATATTGATATTTGCTATCAACATTGATATCATTAAACACCAATATCAGCACAGTTGCCACACGCTGTTTTGTAATTGTTTAGTCAGAAAGCGAACTATAACCATCCTCACATTTATAATGATTGAACTAAAGTGTTGCTTTAGTCTTTCCAGTAACGTCCAAATGTCTCGGCAGAGTATTTAAAGATCTCTGTATGTCACAAAGACACGTGTGCAGCTTTTGCTCCATTAACTCTGTCAGTGGCTCCTCTGCAGAACTCTAGTCATTTCTCACCTTTACATCTTACATTCCATTAACCCTAAAGGGGCTTTCTCTAGGGGAAATCTCTTATCTCTAGCTTGTAGATTTGTGTGTGTGTGTGCGCGCGTCCGTGCGTGTGTGCGTGTGTGCGTGTGTGCGTGTGTGCGTGTGTGTGTGTGTGTGTGTGTGTGTGTGTGTGTGTGTGTGTGATCTCCTCAGCTAACAGACCCTACTCTGGTATACCACTAGGTGCGCCTTCTCTTGTACTTAAACGCCACCATCTTTCTGACCAAAAGTTAGTTTCCTGGTTTCCTGTGGTCATGCTCTTCTTTTCATACTCTTTTTCTTATCTAGCTCAGTACCCCCCAAGCGTGTTTCCCCAGGGAGCTTTGACAAGTTCCCTTTTGAACTAAGACCAGTCCAGTAACACATACTGCTTTCAGACTTGCAGTGTAATTCACTGAAATTCTGTGACTCTCTTAAAGGAGATCAAGTTGCTTAAACTGAGCTCACAATGACCCATGGTGAGCAATTCCACTTTAAGACAACACTTTCTTGTTAAAAATAATCGCTCCCTACAATGAAGGAGTCTTCATTGTAAAAAATCAGGTGTCCTTAGGTGTGTGGAGTTATGTATGTCCTGGTCTTCAATTCTATTTCATTCATCAACATTTCTGTTTTTACCACTATACATAATGTAATATTTTATTACAATACCATGTTGTTTTTATTACTATAACTTTGTAGTTCAACTGTGATGGTGATAGATACAACAGGGGTGAGCACAAAGTCTCACCTCCAGCTAAGGTGGTATTTGCGATTAATGCCTGCTGGGCGAGGGAAATCACTCCCCCACCCCCCCTTGTAGTGACACTGGGTATAGCATTCCCACACCAGGACAAGCCTCACACTCAGGAGTAGTTGACAGATACAAAATGGTCTCTATGTTTTGTTCTTTTGTTCTTGTTGGCTTTTTTTTTTTTTTTTTTACTTGTTTTTGTTCTTTTAAAGGAAAAAAAAAGAACAAAGTTGGGTGGGTAGGGTGGAGAAGGAATTGAAGGAGTGGAATTTATGATCAAAATAGATTGCATGAAAAATTTTAAAAATAAAAAGATTAAGCTAAAGCAACGAATAAGCACATGCTCCTTGTAGGAAGTCTGAGGTGAAGCTACCAGAGGAAAAATGTCGTCAGCAAAGCCACCTTCTAAAACCAACAGTTGCCATTTTTTGTGCTTTTTAGTTGTTTTTTTTTTTTTTTTTAATAAAGAATTACTGTTTATTTTTCTACAAATTCAAAAATAGAGGCAGTATGGAAATCTGAACATGTGTCTATAAACATGCACAACTGTGCTTGAAGCCCAAGCCTGGCCTCTCATTATCACTTGACCCTGGGTTAGTCACCTTATGTCCTTGAGGGCAACTTTTCACCTGAAAGTTAAAAATATTCATGCTACCTTTTATTCTGATTAGGATTTGGGAAGCCCCCACTATAAAACACTTCAAAAGACTTTCTAAATAACAGTTCCTGGCTTCTCTTACCTGAGTTATAAACAACTTTGACTCCACTAATGGGAAAGAGACATTTTCTGAGCCCTACTACATGTGAGAAGCCTGAGCTATCTGCTTATATTTATATTCCTACACTTTGCATATTTCATTTAACATTACATCTGACAAAACCAGTGAACAAAGTCACAGTTATTGCGAGATGAATACAAAGGTGAATCTGATATTGAATTCCATGGATTTTTTTTTTTTAATGTTTCAGTATCATTCGAGACACATTTTGGAAATATTTTAAATATTTTAAAAGAATTCTGTTGTGGAAATTCAAACTGTTATGGAAATTTCTAGAGTTGTTGAAGAACAGCTGTATTTTGATTAGATTGATATTCTGATTTTGATTCTCTTAGGAAAGTTAATAAATAAGTGTGATTATTTCTTCTTACAAAAGAAAAGAATAATTTAAAATCCCTCTGCAAGCTCATGAAAGAGAACAAATGGTGGCTAGCAGGCCCAGGTATCCCCTGCTGGCCATTCAGTAAAACTCATCTTAATATAAATTGCAAGTCTTCCTAGTGGAGCCTCTTCAGACTCAGCTGAGAAAGAACCATCTTAGGCCAGAAGAGCTTCCTTCCTATTCTATTTAGAACCAGAAAGCCAGATGCAATGAAAGGCCAATCTCAAGTGAACAATGAAAGAAGGAAAATAGTGATAAAGTCTTTTAAAAAACATGGTTAGAATGAATGATATGATAATGCAGATTTAGATAGTAGTACCAAATAGAAACACATGAAGGTGATCTACTCAGCTGTCATAATAAATTAATTTAGTTTTAGTTGTTAGGGGAAATTGAGACGTGAGTTGGGGTAAATGGCACAGCAGTGTTGGGTTGTGACCTTAGCACTGGCTAAACACGGATGTCTTGGTACAGATGACTTTTAGTTCAAATAAAATATACTATCCTCCCACCCCCACCATTGCTCTCAGTTTTTGAAAGTAGATGGTGCTCATATCAGACAATTTAGAAAACACTAAGAAGCAATAGAGGAAAAAACAAACAAACAAACAAACAAAACCAAAACACCGAGCTGCTGTTGCTGTCAGCCCTGGGAGAATGAGGTTTTCTAGAGCTGGGTGAGTTGGAAACTGCTCAGGAGGACTGCCTTCAAACAGGACCCAGCCTGTTTCCATTCCACAGATCTTCCGCTGGTAAGAAGGGGGAGTGGGGACTAACGACCGCAAGAAGAGAATTAGAGACGCATGTTTATCTCAGTGCATTTGCTCTCATTAAAGTTCATATTCGCTGACATCACACCTCTCTCCTTGAGGAAAGCCTGCCCACCCACCATTAATTAAAGCCACATTTTTAAAAGTCCGTGTGTGCACTTTCATCCCAATCAAAAGTAGCCTCCTAAGTTTTGTGGAGTAGGCAGAGGAGTATCCGAGGCCCAACAGCTGTTCACCTCTCCTCCGTGAACTCATGTGATTCACATTAAAACACTTGCAGGACCTAGCATATAATAGTTAAGATCTGTTATTCTGAAGATTAGAACTGGTCACAGTTTAACGACCTATTATAAAAACTCAACATATATTTGAATCAGTTGACATTCTTTTGGATACAATGTAGTGACATATAGCCTATCTTTCAGATAGAAGAATCTAAATACTCCCATTCAAATAATTAAGCAATGTGTCTTGTCAAAGACGCCACACTTTATAACTTACACGTGCTCTACTGATGTCAAAACAAAGGTCAGTATAGATCTTTCATCTAACTCATTGCACAAATGATACTCACCAATAATAGGAGTGCACAATCACAGTCTAGATTCTTGGCAGTGGCAACTATTAAGTTTACAATTTCATGCAAATAAAGAATAAATAAACTTAATATTTAAGTTCAGAAAAGGTCCTATTTGTAAACAGCTCAGGTCCACTCATCCTATTTCATGTGCTATGAGTCCCTTTTCCCCAACTTCTTTTAAACTAGATTGGCTCTTCTCAAGAGCCCAGTAAAAAGATTTCATCCAAACAGATCTGTATTCTTTTTCTATGCTGTTTCTATGTCTTTCCCTCCTCCATATTTCTCAATTTTATGCTGATCTCTCTTCACAAATTAATAGCAGGCATATTTAATGTTTTACTGACAAAAGACAAATCACGTCTGTTTCCTCTGGCAATTAGATAGTCTTATAGTAGTTCAGAACAAATGTTTGTTTATCTCAGCCGTTTTCAGCTTTCTGCCCAAAGGCACAGATAACAACACTCTGGCTCTCTTGTTATTCTGGTCAAGCTGCCACTTAAATAGTCCAACCTCGCCCATCAGAACATAAGCATTGAAACAGTTTAATCCGAGGATCAAGTACCCTGGCCTAGGAGTTAAACCTGAGTTCTAGTTCTAGTCCTGACGTTTTGGTGAGTACCTCAGGACTTCAGTTTCCTCATCCACCAAATGGGTGTTTGAAGGTGATTTCAGACTAGATTCCTGTGGACTACCAGGTACATCAAGATAAAAGGATGAGGGTTTTTAGTTCTCTTACTCAGCTAGAACAAAACAAGACAAAACAAAACACCCCCCCCCAAAAAAAAAGGACGTGTAGGTAGTGCTGGGTGTGACTCCAAAAGAGAGTATCCTTGAATTTAGGAGAAGCCAACTCACCATGCCTGGTGAATTGCTCTAATGGAATATCTGGGCACTGACGCTCCATACTATTGCTTTGTGTGATAAAGAGCTATCTGGCAAACGATACCTTCTGCGCTATCCAGCAGGGACCATAAAACACTTGACTCACCACACTGCTCAAAGCAATGAGTGGACTTCGTGAGCTCACTGTGGAGAAGAAGGTGGGGCATGGGTGGGGGATGTCTCAGCCCTGTTGGTGGTACTCTTTAGAACAAGTGGCCCTGGGCTGGGAGTTGGTGGGAAGCTGTGACTGTGCAGCATTTAATCAACTAGGAAATCTTAAGATAAGGTCTGCCTCAGTGAGCGGCAAGGCCACAGGGCCTGGAATGAGCAGGACCGCAGGCCATACCTTCCTCCCAGCTCTGTTGTTGTGAAGGTTCATCAGGGCTCTTGCGTCCTTCCCTTTCCGTTCCTTGGCATCTACAAATGCACGTGCGAACTTGATCCCATAGTCAATGTTGTCACTGCAGCCTCCCCAGTCGAAGGTGCCTTTGCTGTCCTTGGCACTTCCTTTCTTCTTTGGATCACAGGAACAGGATTTTAATTCTCCTTGGCTACAGGCCCTGGTGATGGCAAATACAACTCCAGCTGAGGAGATGGCGTAAACAAAGGCAGATTCCCGACTACCTGAAACAAAAATGCTTTTCTTAAAAGTGGCCAGAGAGCTTCTCTCAAGTGTTCTGCATTGCTTTCACATAGTGACCTTCTTGATGTCTCATCTCCTATGGTGTTCTAGGATTCTTTTCTAGATCTCATGTCATTTTTCTACTATGAATCACTTACATTTAACGTAGGATTTGGTCCATTTAAATGTCTATTGGCCAATTCTTCTTAAATACAGAGTAGAAAAGATAAAAGATAGCCTTGCTCCTGGTTTCATCAAATCACATTCACTCCTAACCCTAGATATCCCAAAAGAGCGGGCATGAGTCATCTTAGTTTCACCATCTATAAAACAGTCTGAATTCTACAGTTCTATCATTCATTCCATTGAAAGGTTTAGAAGTCATGATATCACAGTTTGGAAAAAAAGCTGTCAAGATAGACACTGTTGCATGCGATTACAGTCTTGGCTGGGACAGAAGACTGCTTGAACCCAAGAGTTGGAGGCCAGAACAAAGAAAAACACTTCCAAACCTCTAGACATTACTGAGGACATTAAGAAAATTTTACTTATGGACAGTGAAATACTGAAATCAAGAAAATATTGGGGCTAGGATGGGAAGAGAGTTCATTCAGCCACCAGGCCCTGGCATTGACACTGGAGAGCTGGCTTGCCATCAGTTTTCACAAGGAATTGAAAGTTTGTTGAAAATGATATGTAATATCCTTGGGTTGCATACTGTGTCTAACTGCTAAGGTGATTTTCCTTTCTTCTGGAACACCTGCACTGATCATTGGTATTGGGTCAAAGACAGTGAAAAGCTTTTGCTTTGGTTTCTCTGGAAGGAAACAAATTTACCGCCTATAATTAGACTAGGGCAAGAACCCTTTGGGGGCTTTCGTAGACTTGTTCTTTATTAGAGCGCAGCCTACTTTCACTTACAGGCTGAGAGGTACATATTTCAGTGCAATAACTACATTAAATTATTTTAATAATCTGTAGTAACTCATAACACGGTGTTGTGGTAGAGTGACAGATATAAGGCTCTTTAGGGTCTGTGTGCACCTCATTTTTCAAGTGGAACTGTATTTCATTGTTATTAGCATGGCTTTTTATTAATGGTTGCTGCAGCAAATATATTAACAATCAAAATAGAAGCTGGACAAGCTAATGCCCCTGCAAGGCAGAAAGCAGAGAACCGTTAGCCGATTCAATCTGTCAAGACCAGTGTGACTTTTTGAACCACACAGCTGGGAGGAGGGCTACTTTTTCACATTGAAGCCTTGCTTGTTTCTATGTGTCACTCATTGCTACAGCTTACTGTGTACCCCTTGCAGAATTTGCTTTGCTAGTCTCCTTATTAAAAACCATTATTAAGAATGTACATGGTACTAAGCTTATCCCAGCCTTTCAGGAATATCTTCCTACAAAATTCTAGCCATCAAGAAGGGAACCAGTTATTTCGAAGGACAATTACTTAGATGAATGTTTGCCATAAGTAGCAAGCAATGCTCTTGAGACAGGACTGGAGGCCCATAGGAACTGTTTCAGCAGTCCCAGCGAATGCTATAAGGCTCACACATAGATGAAAAGGAATCAACAGGTGGTGACTAACATGGCTTAATTTTATCCACTGGCTTTTAGATAAATAACACTTTCATTATATATTCATTTTTATAGTTTTAAAAAATTCCTTGCTGATAGTTGTCTGTTTTATCATTGAAAGTCTAGTTTGGGGTTTAGAATCCAGTATCCATATTTACAGATATCAAGCTAACATATATACATAAAATATACATGATATCAGATGAGATATATGTGAGTAATTAGCATGCATGCTTAATGTATTTACCACTAATATAGTTTGAGCAAGAAATTTTATAGGTGAGAAAAAGCATGGAAGATGTGGATCATAGCATGTTAGGAACACACAGTATTTTTGAAAGTATTTTGAGAGGTTTTTGAGATACAAACTTCATCCTCAGGCAACAATCACATTGGCTTGTTGGCTCAACCCAAAACAGTAATTTTCTGTAATTCTAAAAACAAATTTCTGAAGAAAAACATCGTCTTTCTAAATGTTTGTTATTGGTCGAACACGTTAATTAATGTCTAGATGTTTCTTGAGATAAAGATGTTGCCCATGGACTTTGTTTTGCCTCCAGATGTTGCAGCGTCACACAGAAAAGGACTTAAGATGTTTTCACTTAAGGGTTTTTAGATGATTCACTAAAATGTTATGTGTGAAATAGTAGCACATTTCAAGATCTGGCTTCATCACAAAACAAAATTTGATCTTGGACTTCTTAGGAAAACCGATTCTTTTTCAGATCAGAACAATCGAAATCAAGCCCTAATCTAAATGGCGATGTGGTTGCCTCCGGGTCTGCTCCTGCTGAAGCTACTGTCATTTTAGGATTGACATGAATTGAGCCGTGTCAACGGGGTGTACAGGCAGGCTTTGTTTCGTTTGGGAAGATTTTACCTGGGAAGGCAAACCACTGAGCTGGAGTTTCTTGAGGGTCATGGATTGTCCAAGTCTTTTCAAAAACGCTTTCTTTTTTCTCCTATTTTACTTGCTTGTCTTCTTTTGTCTTTTCCTCTTGAAACTTACAACGATGAACCCTAATCTTTCTTGTTTTTTTGTTTGTTTGTTTTTTTTAATATACCTATTCTAAAACTTCAGAGGTATCTACTTAAAAGACTATGTCTGGGTTTTCCCTCTACCTGTGAAAGAGTAAATTCCAAATGTTTTAAAATGTTGCTGTTTCACTCTGGAAGTCTAGGGCACAGGAGGCAAATGTTCCCCACTTCCCTATACCCATGGCTGCTATACCCAGCAGTGATGTACCCTTCAGCTTATCTTCCATGGTCATCTAAAGGTACATTTAGGTTTCTAACAGAGAGTTCTTCACAACTCTAGATTGAAATTTCTCTCTAAGTAATTAACTGTAAGACGTCTTTGGATAACTTCACTGAAATTTCATGATTATTTCCAGGATAAGCTGCTGGCACGCAGAATTCAGCCCTCTGCAAAGTGATACAAAATCACCACTGACAGTTGCAGGGATCTGCAGAAAGGTCTAGGAAGAAGTTGGCCTTCTGTGAAGAGTGGAAAGAAACCATGTGATGTGCGGGTTTTAAGTTCTGAGCACTCCAGCAGAGTGCTAAGCCTCAGCTGGAGGAAGGACCAACTGGCTCCAATCCCTTATTTACCAGAGACCTCAGACTAAGGCACTTTAGTTTTCTCCCTTTACCATCTCTTCTCTCTCAGTGACCCTGCAAGTATTCTGTGAATGACTCCTCAGCTTTGGAAGAGACGCCATGTTTTGGATCATGTGTTGAAGCTGCTTCTTTTTAAGTCAACGACATGACTCAGCAAGAAGAGGCTGAGTAGAGTCTCTGGAACCTTACAGTGATAAGAGAGAACCAAATCTCGAAACTCTTCTCATCTTCACAGGCTCCCACTCCTGCCCAGTAATAATAATACATTTAAAAAAAAAATTAAATTGCTTCCTCTAATTAGTAATTTAAAGCCTGTTTTTTCACCCCACCCATAAACAAAGGACTTAATGGATCTACACGTTATCATTGTATAAATGGAAGCTCCTCTAATTTAAATCATTGAAAAATCTTTCTATATTAATAAGGAAAAAAAAACAATATAGTCCACAATGACTTGCCATAGCCATTTGCAAATTCTCTTTGACAAGGTCCAGCACTAATTGATTTACTGGTGAACTAACCTAGAAGAAGTCTTAAAATTCCACTAGGCTGACATTTGCTATTATCCTTTCAAAAATTTGCGATGTCATACCGAAACTCTAAAAGGAATGCATAAGAATATAGTTCTTAAACTAGAGAATAAAATTGCAGAATATCACAGTAAATTAACTTTAAGGATACTCTAAGAGTGAGAGTACTACACCCTTGGGGGATTTTAGAGACATTCATTTATGCATTTGGCCTCATAAAACCCTAGGGCTGTGATGATGACATGATAGAAACACCCTCCGTTAAGCATTACTGAGTGAATAGCCTGGATGATTTTCTTGGGAATGGGAGGGAGCGGGGTGGGCAAAACCAAGTGTAAAGTTCTCTGTCTCTGTCTTTGCACACAAACTGTTGTACGTCTAGTCAAATGTCCCACTAACAACTGGGCAGAGTTATTGCTCGGAGAACGCGACTCCTGCCAGCTTAATGGATGAGTATTATTTGAAAGTAAAAATTGATTTTAACTTATTTCTCTGATTATATGCTCATAGATAACTAGCTTTACGTTACTTTCAATATTCAGACACTTAACGGCTCTTATCTAAGTAGAAAAATTTTGTCTTTTTCTAAGTGAAAAAGAAATCTCTGTATTCAACGTTGTTTGTCCTCTTTCAAAAATATTCCTCCTGCCAAAAATGTAGCTGGAAAAGCAACAGGGTCTCACAACAAGTTTATCTAGTCATTCATTGTAACGAATGAATGAGACCTACAGCGTTGATCAGGTACTGGTTAGAGTGCAGAAAACACAGGCTAGTCCCTGCCCTGTGGAGGTAGTTAGAGGTGGTGAGGTGAGGTTTGTCCCCACTTCTTACAAACATTTCTTAGTGTATTTTCTATAATAATGGCAACATTTGACTGATGAAAGGTTTCTGCATACTATCTTGATCTTCAAATCAAACTCTTCGGAAAGTTTCAAGCCCCAGAAAAACGTTCTTTTTCTTAAGTCAGAAGAGTCCTGGGGTTGCTTCTTTCTTTCCAAAGACAAAGTTTGACCCCAAAAGGTCATGCTGTGTTGAAGTGATGGACAAAGCACAGAATGAAAAGTCACCAGGTAGAACCATTCATCCTGTAGCTTCTCAACCTGCTCTACCAAAGGCATTAAAGGGAGGAGCTAGTTCCTTGATCGCCACAACTCTCATCTCTGGAAGACGATATTGGCACCATACAGCACAAACTCACTAAACAGGATGCCATTAAGGATGAACAGGGACTTTAAGCACAGGTGCAGGGAGGGCCAGGAGCAGGGAGCTGGGGTAAGGCAGGAGACTCACTTCGGAGGAGGACCCGGCCAAAGAGGCTGTGATCTCTGTCCAGGGTGTTGCAGTTCCAGCGGTGCTGGCGGAACTGGTGCTGGCACTCTGCTGTCCACTCAGCCACACCCAGGCCTATGGCACGCATCACGTCTGGGTGTCGGTGGCACAGCTGACGCTGGCGGCTCACCAGGCCTGGCACATTGTCACACATCACCCTGGAGGAGCCACCTGTAGCTCTCATGTACCTGTGAGAGACCAATAGAAAGGCAAAAATGATGTGGACAGGCCCGGCTTGGCGTTCCCCGGGAGACAAGCACTCAAAGCGCTCCTTGAGTGTGAGTTACTTATACTCTGGTAACAGCTGAAGGTAGGGAGTCATTTAACTTTCATTGAGTGCAAAAGCAGGCAAAGGGAGCATGGCCAAATGACCTGGTCAAAGCTGCTTCCAATAGAAGCAGATAGAGGGATGACTACCTCCTGAGGTTGAGGCCACCAAACGATACTGTAGACAGAGAGGCAGAGGCAGTAGCGTTGTGAAGATGGGGGCTTGAAGGGGGTGGGGGCAAATGTTTTTGGGAGAACACAGAATTTCAAAGACGACTGCTTTCAGTGGTGCCATATGTCTGCCTTTGGCTTTGGAGGAAGCTGACCTTTAGAAGTTCCTCGCTCCCATTTGTTTGACCTAAATGTCTTCAAAACTGCCAGCATGCATCCTATTAGCAGCTGCTGGGAACTGATATTGCATTTCTAAAGAATCTTTAAAATGGTTTCATTTTCTAGCTCTTTTTGGCGTTATTAGAAACTTCTTTAGAGGAAAAAAAATCTTCCTATTGTTATCACAAACACTAAATATTTGAAAGAAAAAAAAGCCCAACATTATAGCTCCATAAAGTACTTTTGAAAAGAAACTTTAACAGCAAAATTACATCATTATCTCTAGGCAGATGTTCTTCATTATTTGTGAAATGTTTAAAAAGGTACCTTTTATACAGGCCAAACTGCCATAGATGTCTTCTGAAGCGACCAAACAAAGTGAATATCTTTTTTTTGTACTGCCATTATTTTATATGATCATAAAATCACTACAGCTGTGACTTACAAAAATATATATTTAAGTGACAGCTGAGAGACAACGTGACAAAATGCCCAAGCAATAAATTATGTTTATATACACCTGGAAACAGAAATAATCATTTTATTGAAAAATGGTTAATCTGATAAATCAACCTCTGATTCCATGTCAGCCTAAAGGCCTTTCTGTCCAACGGGCTTAGGAAGGAGCTGAACACTCCCCCCACCCCCCCATCAGTGCTTTGCTCTGTTTCTCTCAGTCACTCTGGTGTCTAACTAGCCCACTGACTTTGTCCTGTGTTTGGCTGAGATCCTCACTGCTGTTGCATAGGAAAGGATGTGTGTGTGTGTATGTGTGTGTGTGTGTGTGTGTGTGTGTGTGTGCGCGGTGGGGGTACGGGGAAGGTGCATTGGAGATAGCCAATCTTTCTGCATTTGTATCAGAATACTTTAACATCTGCTCTGGAACTTTATGTACAAGGAAGTTACAGAGCTCTCAACTCCATTTCTCTTCAAGGTCAGAAAGTTGAGAGATAGGGATGATTTCGAGATAGGCAGAGAATACGCAGAATAAACCATACATCAGTATACAGAGACAGCAGCAGAGTTAAGATTTAGGAGGACAGTTTTGAGCAGGGTAGCATCTTGGGTACCTCAGTCCCGGTAGTTTTTCTTCAAGGCAATAGTCCCTACCTGGAGGCTGCCTCACTGGGGTGAAGTACCAGGAATGTGGAAGGACGGGAAATAATCCAAAATCACAGGCTTCAGGTTCTACAACTCCAGCTGCCTGGATTGATTTATCTTGAGGCACTTTTCGAGGATGTGTGGTTGGGGGTGGCAGTTGTAGTTTTCAAGATGAATTCTCTCTCTCTCTCTCTCTCTCTCTCTCTCTCTCTCTCTCACACACACACACACACACACACACACACACACACACACACACACACACGAGGTCTCTACTATAAGTAGAGATCAGGTTAGCACATTTCTCAGTGGAATAGGAAATTGGCTGCTTTTGCTGCCACTTAGCTGGATCCAAACAACCAAGCGTTAGAGCTCACAATTGCGGGGCATGTGAATTTTTGGAGTTGCCAAAGCTAAAATGGGTTTTTGAGAAAAGCGAAGGGTTTCAGCTCAGAATGCTGCCATAAGACACGGTTGTTTCAGAATCCACAACTGCCAGGACTAGGAAACAGCCAGGGAGGGTCTATGTGACCAGTAGGTCCGAACTCCCATCTCCAAAAATCCATCAGCACCGCGCCCATATGCGTGGACTTACCACCATGAAGAGCTGACCTCAGGGGTGAGCCAGGTCATGAGCAGAGGGAGCCAGAGCCAGATTCCACCGAGAGGGACGTTCATATTAACCCCCTTGCGTCTACATCAGGTCAGACTCCGTGTGCGGGCGCCATGCGTGCCCGGAGCAGAAGCGCTCAGCTCCGGGAGCGCCTCGTCACGGCTGCCGGCGCCTCTGCGCCCCCGCCCCCCCCCCCCCCCCCCCCCCGCCGCTCGCGTCTGCGGCTAGTGATGAGACTCACTGATAAAGTTTCAAAAGACGAGCCCAGCGAGCGATAAAGGGCAGCCGGGGCCGCCTCGCCCACAGCCAATTCCCCAGGCGCTGAGAGCGCAGGCAGCCCCGAGCTCTGCGTGCCTCCCGCGCACCCTGTCCTTTCGGTTCCCCTCCAGGCGCAGCCAAAGAAGGGGGCGCTGCGCCGGGCGGGGCGTGGGGGGGGCACCGGGTTTTATAGAGGAGTGGAAGATGGCAAGAGATACCTCCGGGTGAGGAGGGGCAGAGGAAGTTGGTAGACCTCGGAGTGGCCAGGAGCATCATCAAGGCAAAGGCACCTTTGTGCAAGTTCCTAGCCAAAGAGCCCCAGGGGGCTAGGGCCACCCCGGAACGCAGACACCCGGAACGTAGCCGTTTCTGGTAAACTGAAGTCCCTGATCAAGCAACATCGGCGGGGGAGGGGAGCAGTGGGGTGGGTGGGTGAAGAGAACACTGCGCATAGGATACAAAAAACCAAAAATGATTTTCAACACTGGGAGATAGTACTCCTGGGAATTGGGATCTGAGTGGGCCAAGTTGAGGACATCCTAGGCCTTGGAAATGAAGACCTCTGGCCTTGATTCCTGTCTTCTATACACGAGGAGAGTGGGAGAGAGGTTGGGACCCAGGAAATCTCATGCAACAGTTTCAGACTAGGAGTCCCTGGGAAGGTGCGTCTTTTATGCTTTTACGCACACCCAGCTCCTTCTAGCGCTGTCGAGGGAGCGCAGTAGAGTGCAGAGGAGCTCCTAGGCAGCCAGGTGTCTGCGCCCGGGCTGGGACTTCATGGCTTTAGCCAGGGTGTCCAACCTGTGCGTCTGGCAGAAGTTCAGTGACCCTGGATCTCAGACCTGGGTCTCCACAGAGTCGAGTTGGGGTTTGGGCCCGAGGGTGGAGCATCTTGAACAGCAACTGGCTTGTAGCCTCGTGGTTTATCACCGGAAAGGAAGACCAGGAACTTACAGAGACCTTGAACTGTTCCATTGCTCTTTTCCTGGGGCGGAGGACCCGCCACCACCACCCAGGAGCGTGTCCCGGGGAATGGCGAGTGTAAAGGGGTTGTAGGGTCAAAGTGTGTAGAGCAGGCGTGGGTATAGGAAAGATAACGGCACTCCCCGCCCGCAGCGCCCACCTCTTGGGCCAGGATCCGCCAGAACGTCCGCTATCGCCCAGCACCGAGCGGTGAGAGGCTGGACGAGGCACACAGCCCGGAGATGCCAAAAACCTGAAAGATGCTGTCATCGCCACCCCCTTCCCCCTCGCTGTCCGTGGCAGGTCCGGCCCCTCCCAGGCTGACCCAGATACATCCCCTTTTGGGTCCGGAAAGGGAGGAGAGGGAAACAAGCACCGCGCCACCCACGACTCGGGAAGAGCAGGGCTCTGCGCCAGAGCTGCTCCATATCACTGGGCTGAGACCCAGAGGGAAGTTCTGCTTCGTCTTCGCTGGGCGAGGGAGGGGGTGAGCTGCTGCTCTGAGGAGGAGCACATGCTGCTGGGGGAGGGCCGGGATCGCTCCCAACAGCATTACCTCGTGTACCTCAATTTATGGTCACCAGCTTTCTTCCTGAAGGAAGCAGAGGGACAAGCTAAAATTTATCTCCACTCGCCATTGTCTCACATTTAGTTTGTTGAAGTCTCGAAGGTTCACTTCCAGCAGTAAATGAAACCAGGCGATAGATGTGAGTTTTGAGGAAGGCAGGCAGGTTACAGGGCTTCCACTGCGGACAATGAAAACGTTAACTTCTTTTGAAACTCCAGTTCACAAGTCCCACCCATCCCAGCAGTCCTGTCCTCACGGCTCCAGGGCTGTTGGAAACACATGGAGTGTGACCATCATTCAGGATCCCTTCCTCTCCGCCCAGGGAATTGTATGGCCAGGAGACCTGTCCTTCAGTTGATGGTGAGGCCAATGGAATGACCTAAACCTGAAACAGGCCTCCTAGAAAAGGATGGGCCATCCTTAGAGCCAATGAAATCCTCCCAGAAGAGCTTCCCAGCAGGAACACGAGGAAGTGCCACATGCCTTGCAGAGTGCAGATCAGTTTTGGTCAAAGGCAAAAGGCTAAAAAAGTTCAAGAGAGGCTAAGCCCAGATGTGAAAAAAGGTCCACCCAAACACCCTTTCTGACCTGTCTGGAGGCAGTCTGGACCAGATGACTGGGCTCTTCCAGATCTGCGATTCCACTTCTCTCCCTACTCCACCCCTAGCCACTCATGACCCATTACATAGTTCCAGACAGCTTCTCCTCAGACCCAGAAGCTCCCACCTTTCTTCCTGTATGCATGGAGTCTCTTAAATGCCCTTGGGCAGGCAGATGGGAAATGCTCAAGGCAAGTAGGAGGAAAGGCAAGCCTTTCTTGTGTTATTAGAAATAAGCATGGTAAAAAGTTAATAAATGGCCAGGTACAGTTCACACTTCATCCTGGCTATAGCAGAGGGTGAGGTAAGAAACGGCAGGATTTGGAGTGCTTTATATCTATCAACTTCATGTTTGAGTTTTTTATTTCTTCAGTAAGAACTCTAAGAATTGACCATAAAATTCACTACAATATACAGAACAACCCAGTCCTGCCCCCCGACTTTTTAAAAAAAGATTAATGTTAGTTTGCTTATAAATTCAGTATGGCATTTTAGCCAAATGAGTCAGTCTATTTTCTTAGTTAGATCCATTGTTTGTCTAATCTCCCAGGGCAGAGAAGAGAACTAATTTACTACCAGACTATCTCCACCCTTTAAAATTGAAGTTACTTCTTCAACTACATGGTCATTTGTCTTTCCGTCTGAGTTAGTTTCTTCTTGAGGCAGTGACCCCAATATAACTATTTCTTTTTAAAAAGATACATTTTATTATCTTAAAGTGTGTGTGTAGGTGTGTATGTGTGCCTGTGTGCCTGTGTGTGAGCACACACATGACTGTAGGAACCCTCAGAGGCTAGAGTTTTCGGATCCCCTGGAGCTGGAGTTACAATTGTGAGCCACTGGTACCGGGAACAGAACTCTGGTCTTTTGGAAGAGCATCAAGTGCTTGTAACCGCTGAACCATGTCTCTAGTCCTCAGTAACCATTTATTAACCAAAGAAAAAGGCATTTAGACCCTCAGTGTGTATTTCAACAAATCAATGCCAAAGAGTTTTGCCCAAGGGTGTAACAGGTACCTGACATTTCATACAGAAGTACACAGACGGCCAAAGTTATGGGGACACCTATCTCTCCAGACTCTGGGCAGTCAACATCACACAGAGAACCTTTCAGAGAAAGAAAATACGTAATATGTCCCTCAACTATCTCGTGGATAGTACACTTTTCTCTGCTGAAGACCATTTGAGGGTGGCAGCTCTGCAGAATAGAACACAAGAAAGCCAGGATTCTCCATTAAAGGAGAGAAGAGTTTGCGCTACAGTCCAAACTCACAAGGGAGACTTTTTGAGTTGATCAGGGATGAGTACCTACAACAAATGAACAGCAGAAGGTATCAGGCAAGAATCTGAAAGTGTAATGAGGAGCCAGACAAATTTTATCACATAGGGCAAATCACAAAACTGAAAAAGACAGAAGAAATTGGAAGATAAATTGATAAAAATACAGTGCAAAAAAAAATTCTTATAAAGGGTAATGACTAATATTTCATTATTACTCATTATTATGAAGAGAAAATAAAAACGACAGTGTGAATGACTTCAGATTTCTTATAAATTACAAAGTGAGGGGAAATAGGAAGAATACTGTATAAAATAATGAATCATTAGCTGAGAATTCTATATCTAGTAAAAAATAGTCTTCACAAATAAAAGTCAAATATATTATGTACTCAGGAAAAGAAAAACAAAGATAATCCATTGTTAGAAACTCATGAGAGAACAATTGCTAAAAGTGATTCTTTAAACAGAAGAGAAATATGACAAAAAGAACCTGAAGTGAACTGAGGAGATGGTTCAGTTAATAAAATGCTTGCTATGCAAACATGAGAACTTTGACTTTAGATTCTCAACACCGATCTAATGTCCCAGGAAAGGTAGCCAGACATGGAATTATGGCAATGGAAGATCCCTGGATCTTGTTGGTCCACCAGCCTACCTGAATTGGTAAGCTCCATGTTCAGGGAGAGGCCATATACAAAAAAGTAAGGCGGACTGTAACTGATGAAGACATCCTCGGCATAAACTTCTGGCCTTTATACATGCCTGTACTCTTGTGTACATGTAATTCGTACGTGCAGGTGTGTGCTCAAGGACCTATGAATGAAAACACACACACACACACACACACACACAGAGAGAGAGAGAGAGAGAGAGAGAGAGAGAGAATAAAAAGAGATTTGGATGAGGGAAAAGCAAGAGAAATGATACATGTCTGCGCTGCGTAAATGTCATGGACTACACTAGGCTTCTCCAGGTCTTTAATATATGGCAACAGGGAGACGTTTACCCAGTAAAAGCCCTTGCTGTGTAAGATGGATGACCTGAGTCTGACCCCTGGAACCCACATAAAGGCCTGATGTCATGGCACTGGCACGCATTTGTAATCTCAGCACTCCAACAGGGAGATAGGAGGCAGGAGAATTGATCAGAAACTTGTAGGCCAGAGAAACCCCGCCTCAAAAGCAAGCTGGAGGCAAGAATCTATGCTGGGAAGCGGTCCCCTGACCTCTACACACGTGTCGCAGTACATGCATGCACTCCAACACCAGCCAGTCAGTCAGCCAATCATTATGTTGATAGTTGGAAGCAAAGACTATGAAACTGTGAGATAGGGCTCATGTTATGTGCAGAGGTATTACAGAAAAAGGAACAGTTTAAAAAGGGAGAATAAGGACTTG